ACGTGACACATTTTGAACTTGCATGTACTTCTGAGGACGAAAAATTACGTAAAAAAGTCAACTTTTGGAGCCTATTGATCTTCCTGATGCCCCTGAATGCAATGATGGCTCTGTGGATCTTCCTGATACCCCGAAATACAATGATGGCACTGTTTATGATAATAATGTAGCCTTATGTGATACTACACAATATACAGTTGTTTATACTGCTGAGGACAAAACAACTGTCAGAGATAGGCAGTTAAAGGAAAAACAGGAGAGGTCTATGCTAAGTTATTACAAAAATCGTGAGAAAAACTTGAAAAGGTAAAGGAGTACCACAAAAACCATAGACAAGTGAGATGAAGCAATTTTAAAAAACATAATGCTGCTAATCGTGACAAGAAATTAGAAAGATTTAAGGATTATTATGCCTCTCACAATCAGCAAATAAAAGATAATGCTAGAGATCATTACGCTGCAGTTGCTGATACATAGAAAAGTCACACACAAGAATTGTAGCTCCTAAAAAACAAGCAAAGTTCATAAAAAAAATTACACTGCATATCATGCGAAAAATACCACACGATTAAAGCAAAATACATGTAGAAGGGCTAGGTATGCATTGAAGGTAACCAAGCCTAAACTGGAAACTACACGAAAATATATTTCATTAATTAGAGGAAAACTAGCTAAAAATGTTGGGGTACAGAAGCAATTGACCAGTGGTGATCCTCACTTTTATCAGGCATGTTATAAAAATGCCCCATCAAATGATAATGATGTTAATAATTGTAATGATATTATTTTAAGCAATGATAGTATTTTTAATAATTTAAATGATTTTAATGATATATTTTTAAGTAATGAAAATGCAAACGACAATGATACAAATAATGGTACAATTTTAAATAATGAAAATGACAATGTAAAAGACAGGGATAGTGTGAATGTGAATAGGGATAGTGTGAACAAAATACTCCAGAAAAAGATGACAATGTACATGTAGACAGTGGTAGAGAGCCAAAAGGAGCACAGTAAAGATAGCTTGTACAGAAAATTGCAAGCCATTGTCAGATTTTCAAATCGAGACAACAAAAAATTTTAAAAGAAGCTTTTGGGGAACCAGTTCATAAATTTAGAGGAATTTTGAAAAAAATAGATAGTGGTTGTCCCAATGAGCATGATCCAAAAAAGAATGGTCATCCATTGGCTTGTTTTGAGGATGACAGTGAGTGCAAAAGTAAACTAAGAATACTGAGAGCTGCTTCTCCTCACTATCCAATATTACGCACTTTTCTGCGTAATGTTTATCAAGCCAGAATTTTTGATGATGCTGTGAGCCTAATAGATCAAGCATTAAGTGAAGGAGATGTGGATGCTTTGATTAAAATTGCAACAGAGTTTGATCCAAACAATGAAAAGAGTGATGTTGCCCAAATATTCTCATCTAGATATGAGAGTGATAGCGACATAAATTAGAGGGATCCAGACCTGGAAACAAAACTGCTGAAAGAAAACGTTAATTTGATAGCTGAATTCCAAAAGGAAATCAGCAATCAAAATGAGCGTGCTTGCTGCAGCTGCAGGAGACTGATGAGACGTAGTAATCTGACCAAAGTCTTTGACAAGGACAAAGAGAGTGAGGCTTGGAGAACTAGAAGCCTTCCTCACCAATTATGATTCAGATTTTGATAGCAAGCAGCTATTAATGTGCAGGCATTGTAAGCCAATAATATGCAACAACAGAATTCCCGCCAGATGTGTATTAAACGGCTTGCAAAGTGAACATTTGCCAGATGAGCTTAAAGGCCTTGAAACCTTCAGTACACAGTTAATTCAATTAGCAAAATGCTTTCAAACAGTTGTTAGATTGGGAACTTACACTGCTAAAGTCCCAATATACAACTCTTTAAAAGCATGCAAAGGAACAGTGTTTTATCTTCCTTTGCCGTTACAAAACAACAAAAAAAATATTAGACCAAAAAAGATCCCAAATTGTACATAATTTTGAATGGTAAACCTACCAAAAACAACAAAATATGGTGCACTCTGGTTGATGAAAAACGTGTACAAGCTGCTTTTGAAAAGTTGAAGGACATTAACTGGCTTTACAGAAAACTTGACAACGAATCTTTAAACAAAGTAGCAAAGAAAGTTGTCGAAACAGCCAACAGTGCTACCAGTACTATGATAGGGGAAGCAACCGATGATGACATTCTAGGATTCCAGTCATATGCAATTCAGAACATGAATTCGAAATTAAACAAAGGGAGCAACATCCAGCAATACAAGATGCAGAATGTTAGGGAAGACCCACTTAATAACAGACAGATACACTTGGATGTCATGTGCTTTTATACTCTGTTTCCAACTGGAAAATTTGGAGAGTATAATCACAGAAATGTGAAGCTAAATTTTGCTGAGTACATCAAATCTAGAATTTTGAGTGAAGACTCTCGATATCGATTGTGCCACTCTTACCTCTTCTATTATCTAAAAATCAAGCAAATCAAAGAGTTAAAGGGTGGCATATTTAAACTGCTCAATACAATGAGAGGTTCACCCATGACTGCTGCACAGTTCGTAGATCTAGTCAAAACAAATGGAGAATTCCTGGAAAAGAGGCTCTGTACCATGATGAACACTGTTCGTGGCTCAAAGCAGTACT